GTGGGGTGGGGGGGGGGGGGGGGCTTCGGGGAAATATCAGGGGTCCAAACAGACCCCTGACATTTCCCTTTTGAAATAGAAAAAGAGATTGAAGATACAGAGTCATGCCCTAGCTGCGCCCCCTCTAGGCTGCACCTGAGGCGAGTGCCTCACTCGCCCCATGGTAGCTACAGCCCTGGGACCGCACATGCACAATGTCCTCTCTCCTTTAGGCTCAGATGAGCTCTTCAGAGTACATGCACACTATGCTTGTTCTCTCTTCTGCCTGCTTGGATCAGCATGTGCAGCTCTCGGGAAAAGTAACGGTGCTCCCTCCTGTAGCACTAGGGGGCACTTTTCCTAATGGCTGATCTGTCTAGTGAGAACACAGGATAGAGCCAATGAAAGCATTTGCAATTTTTCTAGCAGGCTTCTGTCATTGTAAAACTGCCCTAAAGGTATGTTAGTAGAAGAAAGGCATATTTTTAAAATCTGATTAGCTTAGGGTGATGCTATTGAAAAGGTGAACTAAACCTATACAATTACATGGATAGTAGTAGTAGTAGGATAAGGTAGTATACTATACCACAGTCAGATATATCCCCACTCTGAATATTACTTTTTTGTGTTGTTTTGTTTAATATCTCTGCATAGACATATGTAATAATATAACATTTTCATCAGTGTCTCGATCACAGCAATGATTGATAAGGAAAAGCCCACCCAGACAATCAGTTTCCTTCCCCAAGTTGATTGTCCCGTAATGTACTTGAGTCTCGTGGTGATCATTATTCAGTCTATCATTTTCAGGGTCGGGAAACAATACCTATGTCTATGGGTAGATGTGTAATATATTTGTAGTAAATGAAAACATAAGCCTAACCTGTACCATTTAACAAAACATAAAAATGATGATAAATTACAACATTAACTGTATATATATATATCTATATATATATATATAGATATATATATAGATATATGGGTCATCCCTCCATTTGCGAAGGGGGATTAGACTTCCTAAGGCTTTCATTTACACTATATTGTTTGTCTTATTGCTGGAAAATTCAGGTGATTCATCATGTTGGCTGAAGCACCTGATCCCTATTCCCTGGATATCACACTCTCTATGTGATAGGAATATAGCGAGCTATGGCTTTTATATCCTTGACAGGCCAAGGTGATAACTCTTAAGGGATTTAAGCCTTTCGCCTATTGACGAGTTCCATTTTTTTTTGCTAATGCTTTTTCCTCTGCTTTCTCCTAACAGGCCACTGACTGTGAAGAGGGGTCTGGAATTATTAAATGAAGTCGCTTTGCTCCTGAAACAGCAAATGAATGTGTTTAGTGATGTCAGGTAGGTTTCTTTATCTACTCTCCATTGATTTAGAGTCGCTTTAGTACAGTAATCATAATCCTCTCAGTAACATAAAAATGTTGAATAGTTTACTGGCCTGTTTAAAATGGAGTATGCAGTGTATTTTCTATGCTGTCTTCTGAAAATGTACAAACTGAACATGTGGTAATGTTACTGAAGGAAAGAATATGTATTTTATGAGATACATATCTATAGTTTACTGGCCTGTTTAAAATGGAGTATGCAGTGTATTTTCTATGCTGTCTTCTGAAAATGTACAAACTGAACATGTGGTAATGTTACTGAAGGAAATAATATGTATTTTATGAGATAGGAGTATTCTATTTGATGAATAATGCTCTGTCATATTAAAACTGCTTTCATTCCGCTCGAAAGTAGCACAATTTTCCAAAGTTTTAGTTTAATTTAATTCAGTCTGTTAAAATATGACTATTATTAATAGTCAAAAGTTTCCCATCATGTAGTTATAATAAATAATCTTGTATTTGTAGGTGGGTTTTGTCATTGAAACATATTTTCTATACAAATGCCCGACGATGCAATCATCATTTCTCCTGGGAGAGCATCACACAGTAACAAGGCAAATTAGGCAGGAGCCTAGAACCTGGGGGATGGCAATAGCCCCAATGGATGTCAAGAGGGCCCAGCTACAGCTTTTGATGCTCCTGCATTTAACCAGGGCATTGTGCAACCGGTCAAACCTATTCACCTGTTTGTCACGTGTTGCACTTGTAGGGAGTCTGATGAGGCCATGAGGGAGGAGCTGCCATTTTGCCTAGGGCCTCATCCTTAATCTGTTTATGGTTAGAAGACATTTTGGATGATTGTGTCTCCCACATTTGCATACTGTATTTGGTGTGGGCTGGGGTTTTTCTTCAAAGCTTTCATACAGCCGTGGCAAGGGGCAGCAGGATATTAGACTGCTAATCTCATGAGATTTACAGTGAGATTTGGAGATGTTGCTCCTATGCTGCTTACTTTTCTCCTGAAGAGGAAGCTGTACCTAAGTACTTTCTTTGTTATTGCTTCATTCAATCTGTGGATCTGTGCTTTCTGATCCTCTATTGCCGCTTCTTGATCGTTACCCTACCAGTCATCAGGGGAGCAGTGATGACAAGAGAAAGCAAAGTTCTGCTCGTGTACTAATATGTCTGCTTCCACACAGAGTCTGCAGAACAAGGCATGGTAAGTCAGTAATGGGTGAAATGATTAGTGGCACGGAGACCATATACTAGTGAGGGTTATTCACAAAGCTGCCGAAGGATCCAGCCGCAGCGTTGGCTAATCCTTCGGCTTGCTTCGGTTACATGAGCCCTTCAATTCAGTAGAATCGAAGGGCTGCTGTACGGGCTATAGTCACTAAACTACTTCACTATAGTCCGTATAGCTCCCGAAGTTGGCATATGCTTCGGCTTGACTGAGCCGAAGGGAAATCCGAAGCTGGCCGAACGGCCGGCCATTGGCGGCTGAAAGCCTGCTACTGACAGCTGGGCGGAGCCAGCCGTCATCTCATGGCTGGCTCCGGCCACTTGCATTGACAGCGTCCCCTGGTTACACTGATCACCAATGCCTTTTTGTTTTTTTATACTTACTGCCCACATTTTGCCGCCCCCCAGATAGTCTGCCAAGCAGTGAATCAGCCTTTTGTTAAAAAAGTTTGAGAATCCCTGCTTTAATTGTTAATGATACTGTTAAACTTCACTTGGTGCTCACAGTAAAGTAACTAAAAAGAACTATATTAAAATCTCAGAGTGTGACCATGGGGTTAATGCCTTGTGTTCTTATGACTCATATTAAAAATATTTGGTGCATTTATAGAAAAATAAAACTGCTAAAAGTCTGGTCTCTGTAGAAACCATTTAAATGAACGTATGATATCTTAGAAACAAGGGAAAAATAATTGTCAAGATCCTAAAGGTTTATTTTCATAACCTATCCTCTAGGAATCTCATTTATAACACCAAACGGCTTCTGATGATATTGGAAGATATTAGGGAACATATATAAGTCTAACAAATGGTGAGCTATACATTCATATGAGACTGATTTCTTTTATTATTACATCACAAATTATATTATACACAATAATCGTGTTTACAGCCTCAATAATCTGCCCAAACTGACGGATAATACTTTTTAGCCTATGGCTACGCAAGGAATAGCGGTGTCACCGTATTGCACTAATAATGCTGCCTTGAAAACTTCCTCACATCCTGAAGGCAAGCTAGATAAAATTAATGATGTAATTTTAGAAAATGGGAAAAATAGTTCACGTTGAAAGAAATCACACCAGGGGTCCTAGGCACAGTACAAAATAACTGGGAAAATTATCTGACTGTTAAGAAGAACATAGGGCTGATTAAAAAAAGGCAGACAATATAGCTCTATTGCCATCAGCAACCAATCATATTCTAGCTTTCTACTACTCTACTGCATAAAATGAAAGTTAATTCTTGCAGGAAGCTGGAGAAAACAGGGTAAATTATCTTCCTCCACGTTTATGTATGTTTTATAGCATGTCTCATATTTTTGTTGTTAAATTAGAGTCCAATCTGTAGCATTTGAAGGGTTAACATAGTAACTCAAAGTATTTGACATAGCTGCAAACTTTCTTTTTAACCTGACTTCAAGTTCTTTAAAATGACACTAACTTTAGTGACAGTGAAGGTAGGGGGTGTTAGGAGACAGCATAGTACTATTCCACCACCTTCAATGACTGTGGCACAAGGGTCTATAAAGGGGACAATATAGTAGCTTATATAAGAATGGGTAACACTCTTGCCTTTCTGTTCCCACCAAGTAAACTATCTGCTCAGTATTTTTTTGTTTCCTATTCATTGCATGGGTCTTATCCAGATACTTCGCTTTTCCATCGAGAACCCATAACATATTGGTAGATTCGTTGCCACGATAGTGTAAGCTTTTATGTTATTTTTTTATAGAGGGGGCAAAAAGAGTACTAGAGTTCCAATTGCTGTAATGTCCAGCAAGCTTGTGTGTGTGGATCTCAGCTGCGGAGTGACTCTGTGGATGGCTCAGTTAGAGGGTTCACTGTCGCACTCTGTATTGAATGAGTGAGGTCGGAACCCCTAGCACATCATACACCACCACAGGATTGTGAACACAATATAGGTCCTCAATTGTCATTCATTGGGGCCGTGTTGGGACTTGTAGTTACACTAGTTAACTCCACTAATGCAAGGCAATACAATGATGGTACTGTTAAGTGGTAGGATAATGATGCACGGTTCAGTTAATCAGGATAGCAGATATATATATATATATAAGGTAAGTGAGCTGCAGGCATTCAATAGAGTACTGTCGCTTCAAGCCAATGGAGGATATGCAATCTTGTATCAGACTGAGAATACAGGTGGTACTTGCGATTTGGTGTAAACAGTCCAGATACCCCGAGCCACTGGTTGTGGAAGCTTCACGGCTGTGAATCCTCTGGAGGAGGACAGCAAGGTTCAGGATGGTGGAGGTGAATGCCCTAGCAAGTTGCTTGACTTTCTACCTCGCTAGAACGCTGAGCAAGTGAGCCTTCTTAGCTCTTGTAGGAGAGGCAGGTGTGTGTGGGTGGAGTCGTCAGCAGTGGCCCTCCCAACCGTCTCCTAGTAACGGAAATGCTGTGTGAAGGCCGGCCTACTCTGCCTGTCACTTAGACACTGTATGTGTCTGAGAGCGACGTCTGAGAGTACAAGCCCTGGAGGGAACGTGACCGGCAGGTCGCCTAGCAACCAGACGCCGGCGCGGCTGACCCAGGGGACGGAACCCGATTCCCTGACAATTGCTCACTGAAAGTGGTGTATATGAAATCATCATTTGTATCATCATCATGTTTAATATTCACCTCACTAAAAATTAATAAAAAAACTGTGCCACTCTCCCTATCCTAAATCGTACGACACTCACTCTAACTAATCAGGCATTTTTTCTGCCTTACTTAGGAGCTGCTGCTTGCTAGGTCTGCCCTAGGGTTCAAGTTTGGCTTGAATTTTTGGGCCCCCCGCCGGCCTCCTGTGCCTACCCTAATAAGACGCAGATAAACAATGTGGTACGTTCTTCTTCTAGAGCTATGCTACAAGATGCAAACTGTGCACAGACCCAATACTGCATTTGCCTTATTTGTTACTGTGGTGTACTGTATCTACCTCCTTACGTGTATTGTCTCTGTTTTATTATGCACCTCTTTGCAAAACCAATAAAACCATTGAAATAGATTTATGTGCATTTGTTTTCCACAATAGGAGTCAAAATACTCCCCACCCCCCCCCCCCCCACCACTTTCCCTAATGCATGTCAATGTGCTTTTCAATGCAATGTGCTGCACTTAAATGCAGCATGCTCCATTTTGTCTGTTTGCACACCAACCTGTTGGAATCAGTAGATTGTGGCTTGTCATTGTGTTGGGCCTGTGCTGAACAAGAAAGCCTGATGCAGATGATGTGATTGTTCCCTAAATATCTTGTAGCATTGAACCATTATTTAGTAATGCTGATAACAGTTCTTTCCTGCCTCAACTCAGAATGAAATGCTGAACTATGTTTCCTCTTATATGTAATAACTAAAAACCGATTAATTAATTGAAACAGATACACCCTGTATTATAGAAATGCTGGTTCCCCCTGATATGTTTTGTTAATGGTTATGTAGCTGTCAAATAATGTCCATTATTTCTTATTACATCGTTACAGGCCATTAAAACAACATTAGCAAGTTCATGTAATTATGCCTTACACTTAGAATGGATGCAGAAAAGATCTGATCACCTAATTATGGGTCACTGTGTGGCTGGTAGTGATTGATCGCAGATGAGAATTTAAGTCATGTAGGTATTGGTAGTAGTTCATGCAGCTATTAAAACTAAATATATCCTCTAAGTGTTTTCAGCGTCTTATGATTTTTCAGCATGATAGTCCAATGGCCTTTAAATCACAATTAAATGAATTCCCTTCACCAAACTTGTAATGCCCATA